GATTTTCAACTGCTATATGAAATATGCTTTTGCTTTCATCATCACATTTCCATAGCATATCAGGAACATATAGTATTATCAAGAACTCAACATTTCCAGCTCTTGCAGCATCATGCAATAACCTTGTGGGGTGTTTTATAAACTCATATTGCTCTTGTTTTGTATGTTCTTTGACAACAAAGTTCCATACAAGTTCCACAATTTGATGGGCTAATGTCTGGATGAGAGCTTTGTTGTAAATTCTTGGAAAGCCTAGGAAGCACACAAAGATATAATCATGTGTTTATATATATATATATATAAAAGAAAACAAAGTTGATGTATTACGAGAGTTTATGGATGTTTTCCAAAAGCTAAGCTAAGCTCTGTTTTTTTACGGCTATAATTAGTTTTTATTACTTCATTATTTCAATTTTGGAGCACCACGTGAGAAGTAATAGAGAAATGCTTTTTCTCTCCACTCGTACGAAGAAAAATAGTCTTTTTTTTTTTACCATATCGAGAAGAAAGAAAGGGTAAGAAATATATGATGAGTAGGTTAGAATGGTTGGATGAAAGTCACGCATCTGCTAATTTAGGGAATGATCATGGTTTATAATCAAGTAATATTATCTCTATTAGTACGAGGCCTTTTGGAAAGCTCAAAACAAAGCCACGAGAGCTTATACTCAAAGTGGACAATATCATATCAATGTGAAGAGTCATGATTCCTAACATAGTGTACTTTGTTCGAAGGTTCTAGAGAAAGAGTCGAGGCTTGACTAAGAGAGGTTGTTTGAGGGCTCCATAGGCCTCAAGAGAGGCTCTATGTTGTACTTTGTTCGAGGGGAGGATTGTTGAGGATTGCTGGGAGAGAGTCACACATAAGCTAATTTAGAGAATGATCATGAATTTATAATTAATAAATACTATCTCTGTTGGTATGAGGTCTTTTGAGAAAGTCCAAAACAAAGCCACGATAGCTTATATTCAAAGTAGACAATAGCATAATTATTACGGAGAGTACAAGAATGAAACAGAATTTGAAGAAAAACGAAATCGTAACAGTGAGAGGAAATGGTAGCAATCAATCCTTTAAGCAGCTTTGCAACCGCAGCAATATGAAGAGCAGTGGCCTCTCCATCAGTAATCTTCATAGTAATAGTTGATGAATATGAGTCAAATATGGATTTGGCTGTCTTCCAATCACTCTTTAAAGCAGCTTCATATAACCTAACCTTTATTGGACCTACAAACAAACCATAATTTAATGCAAAAAAAATTGAACACGACTCTACGACTCTCCATCATGATATTGTTCACTCTGAGCATAACCTCTCATAACTTTGTTTAGACTTTCCAACAAGCCTCATACCAATAGACATGTGGGACTTTCATCTAATTCGATAAAGATACCTATGTCAAAAATAAAATACTCCATTTCCGTCCTGAAAGTTGAAATGACATTAGATTGTATACCGCCGTTTTGGGTTTCATCGACATGGAAGTCATTGGCATCGAAGTATCGATGGCTTTCATCATCGTCATCGACCTCACTATCGATAAGCTCTGCTCATCTCTCATATTGGAAATGACAATGAGCTCTTCCAAATACCTTTAAATAGGAAATTTTACTTAAAAATCAAGTCTTTTCTTCGTGCAATGAGCAAAATATATTTTCTCTCCTACCCATAATAAATATAGTTCCTCCTTGAACTGTAACAATCATATTTATTCACCCAACCACTTTAATTATTTATTCATTTTTATTACACCTTGTGATTTAAAATTTTGAGCCTCACATTCTATTTTTTATTTTTTACTTTTAACTATAACATTCATCTCAATATAACTCGACTTCTTACCTTCTTATCGTTTATCTATCTCAATTTATTGTCGTTGTACTACGATAATTTAATTTGTTTATTCATAAAACAAATATAAAATATAGAAATTTAAATTTCAAACTTTAAGATGTGTCAATTATTACTATGGCTTGTGTTCATAAATATAGTGAAAACAATTCTCAAAAAGCAATGAAAACATCCACAAATTAGATATCTCCAAAAAAAAAAAAAAAAATTGTTTGGAACAAAAAATTTAGGCTAAATTAATAAACATAAATTTTGCATTTGTCATAAAAATATTTTTGAACTTTCAATTATTTCAGTGATATCCTTAATATTTTTACAAAAATTTAAAAAATTTAAACGCTCACCGCATTTTATTTTTAAGTTGGTTCTTTTCAGATAAATTTAAAGATATTGGGTATTTGAAATGAAGATAAATAATTTACGTCCATATACCCACTCAACTTTTTGTAAAAGCTTAATGGTTTTAATGCTATTTTTAAAAGTTTAGGTATACTGTGCTATATAAGGTAACAGTATTCTTTAAAAAAAGATCAATGATATTTTTTTAATGTTTTTTAAAAAAATTGAAGGATATTAATGAAAATGTGGAAAAAGTATTTATTTATTTTTTATTTTTTAAAATTTACAAGTAATATTGAAACTATTATGATAATTTTGAGATAAAAAACAAAATTGAAAGATATTTTTATTAATTTAAAGACAAATAAATAAATGAGAGACGACTTCAAAGTCAATGCATTTTTTTTTTCTATTTGTTTTTTTTTTGTTCAAATTTGTGTTTCATTTACTTGGGACAGTTCCAAACAATTCAATGCAGTTGATTGACTTATTTTTATAAAAAAGAAGAGAAAAACCGAAATTTTTAGTATTTTTATAAACGTCACTACATGTATATTTTTAATAACATTTGTGAAAATTTAATAAAATCTTTAAAACAAAAATAGAGAAGTGTACGTTTAATTTAAAACAAGAAATAACAATATCGTAAAAAATAAAACATTAACATACTTTTTAGTACGAAAATGAAAGTCACTTATGAAACTACTATTAGAAAATAATATATACTACTGTTTAATCTTAGCTTCACTCTAGTATTCATTGTCATATGTGTGGGAACGTTTTACCTTTACATAAAAAATAAAGGTAGCATGTGGTTCGAGTATTTTAAGAAACACTCAAAAGTAGTCCAACTGTTGGGGTTAAGTAATGTAAACACACATATACATGATCGAACCAATCTTTTAAAACAAATAGTATGACCTTGAGCTCTTTCCAATCTCGGTAGGGTTGGGATGTGTGATACTACCCCACACACGACCCACGCATTCGCACGTGGATCCACCAGGCGGGCTCATATAAGTATATCTTGGGTCAAACTTCTTCGAACTAAATACGCTGACGCATCACCCGATACCATGAAGAGAAAGACTCATATGATATCATGACGAAAATAACTATCGAAGGTACATATTCATACTAACATAACATAATAGGAAAATATCCGGATGCACATGACATGTTTAAAATCGTAGCATACAATAAGAATCATTTCGTTCGTTCTTTCATTTATATCAGTGTACACATATAAGTCATGTATGCATAAATAATATAATCTATAATAAGACTTCACACGACATGACATTGCATACGTAACATTTTTATCATTGTATAATTACTCAAAATTTTGAATTATAGGTTTAGGTAGATTTATTATTCAACCTAACATGTACTATGTTTGGATATATTTGCACAAAAATAATAAGTAATAAAAAGCTTTTAAAATATGGTGTATGGGTGAATTCAGAAAGACCCCAAATGTCAGTATTTATTATTATTATTGTTATTATTGTTACTATTGGGTTCCTGTTGAGCAATCAATTAAGGAGCAAAAATTTGAAAGGAATTGAAAACTTAGCTGTGAAGAGGACAATTGTCAGGTGGAATTGAATATTTTGGTTCCTTTGAAGTTTTTTTTTTTTTTTTAGCATTTTTTTCCTAATTTTTAAAAATAAAATGTTGTTACTCGCTTTAAATAGTGCTTTTAAAAACGACACTAAATAATATAAATAAACGTTTAAATTAAAAACATCTTATTTCCTGTCCCGCTATACAAAAGTATTGCCCATCAATTTTTTTTTGTAGACTTGAGACCACCTCTATCATGGTTTTTAACTATAGGTTCCTAATCATAAGTTATAGTCTACCTACCGATTATATCTTAAAATATTTAAAGTTAGTATGCTACTTTTATTTCAGGTAGAGGCAAGACGTCCATGTACCTATGACAATGACATCACAAGTCAAGACCATGACACATGCATTGGATTGTGATATTTTATTTCTTAGACTTTAGGTTAGAATAGGGTATTTTTACCTTAAGTATTTTATTTAATATTTGTTAGGTTCTTTAAATACTTTTTAAACATGTAGGTCCATGATAATGTTTTACAATGATGTTTTTAATCTTTATTTCCACATAAGAGAGCATAATATGATGATTGTAGCGACTTTAGATTAGCAAAAATTTAAGGTCGTCACATATGAAGACTGCAAGGCACGTCGTTTACTAGCTCTCCAATGCTGAATCCAATTCAAATCAATACTTTGGTATCAGAGTCAATAATCTTTTTTTTGCACTTAATTAATTATTAGAGATAGAGATTTATCATTTTTAATGTAACTTTTCTTTTGGAAGTCATTTACTCCCATTACTCAACCAAAACCATAAAAGGTTAGATTGGATTGAATTAGATTAGATTTTTTTATAGTTTGGGTTGGGTTGAATTTTGGAAAACTGAAACTTGGGTCAATTGGCGAGTTGACAATTTTTTAGTTAGGTCAAATGGACAAACTCAAAACTAGAATAATCTATAAATTAAATTTCTTAAACTAAAGATGACATCGTGAAGCATCGATTGGACACGATAGTTTTTATTAACACGATGGCAGTTATGCCTTAGAAAGGGTTATAATGTCTCCATAAATGCTAAAATCACCGGTAAGCTCCGATTGAGCAGTTCCAAATTGATATAGAAACATGTGAATCGTATCGTTAAGATAGAGTATAGACAAGGTTAAATTTTAAGAATTAAGCTAGATCAAAGGTCAGTGATCTAGAGTTAAAGTGTATGTCCAAATAATGCTTAATATTACACAAGTCAAGTTGAATTGAGGAAGAACCTCGCCTAACATTTGACAAAGCCCAAGCAAAATTATACACTAAAATAACCTTTTCTTAGGGTACCCGAAAGAGAATATAGACCAATAAGTTGATCGCAGTATGTCCACTACAAGTTTAGAGTGACACAGACAAAAACACCCAAGTGGAAGGATCGCTGCTGTTCCAATGGCCCGTGGAATCTTGGTCTTTGTTTTATCATATGCAATAAAGAAGGCTGCACCGAAAGCCACCACCATGCATGCAATAGAAACGAATAGCGTCAATAGCCCAAACAATAGCTTGCTCGGCAACGACACTAAGAAATCTTCTTCTGCATACCGTGACGTCAAGATTGATAGGAACGTGAGTATAGAAGTTGTAGACAACACAAGAGCTGCAACATCGGATATTACAAATACTGTAAACACTTTATTCTGCCAAAATATAGGAATCCCTTCCTTGTCATCGTTTCCTCCTGGAACTGTGAACGCTGCTGCGAAAACTACCGTCGCAATTAGCGTCGCCACTAGCATGCATGAGTTCTCCGTAGTTTTCATCCATTCCTCGCCTTGTTTTTGTAGTTGTTCGTGTTCTTTTGTAAAGAGCTCGCGAGGTGTTAGTTTATCAACTCGGCCTTTTGTTATTGTCACCTCGAAAAGTTCTAGATTCGGATCACATTTCATTTGAAGATGAGATGATAGTACGAGTTTCTCTACTTCCTTCAAATTCACAACAGTTTGTTAGGATCACATAACAACACACACTTGTCCTCAATCTAGATGAATACAAAGAACAAACAGAGAAAAACAAGAAGAAATATTAACTAAGGATTTATATTGATGGCTTCATATATGTATACCAATAGAGAGAATACAGAATGAAGAAAGTATATCGCACAACAATACATACTCGATCTATATGAATACAAAGAACAAGAGAGAGAAAACACAAGAAAAATATATTGGCTAAGGATTTATATTAATGACTTCATACATGTACACAAAGAGAGAGAATACGGTGAAGGAAGAACTCAAAACAAATATACTACGTAAAGTTATATATAGTTTTAGTTTACTATATTATAATCATCTATTATATATAAATATCTACTATACATATTTTTACTTATTTACCGTATATAACAATTGAATAAGCTATAAATAAGCAGAAAATTACATTAATACTTAAACAATATAAATTTAGACCAAGAAACACAATAACAACTCATACCTTGAACCATAAAAGCTCACGTTGCATTTGTAAAGCTGCTCCTGAAACTTTGGTCAAGTGATTTGGAGTTGCTAGTAATCCAGCAAAGTGTAGCATGTTAAAATTTTTTTGTTTATCGTGAAAGTTGGCAAGAAAATCCTTGAGGCCTCCGAGCTCATATATTAAATTGAACACACTTTCTTGTCGATTTTCAACTGCTACATGAAATATGCTTTTGCCTTCATCCTCACATTTCCATAGCAAATTAGGATATGAGCGAATGAGTATTATCAAGAACTCAACATTTCCAACTCTTGCAGCATCGTGCAATAACCTTGTGGGATGTTTTATAAACTCATGTAGCTCTAGCATTGTAGATTTCCCGAGAACAAAATTCCATAGACGTTCCACGATTTGATGGGCTAATGTCTGCATCAGAGCTGTGTGGTAAATTTTGGGAAAGCCTAGAAAGCACACAAAGATATAATCATGTCTTTATATATATTGTTAGATGAACACGACTCTCTAAAATGGTATGATATTGTCTACTTTGAGTATAAGCTCTCGTGAAGATGATATTTTTTGATTATAAACTCATGATCATTACTGTAAAAAAAAAAAAAAATCTGTCACACTATTTTTATTTTGGGAATGGTGAGACAAAACAATCTATTTTTTTTTTAAAAAAAAACACTTTTCTATTGTTTCTCTCTTTGATATCTTCTTCTCTACTTCTCCACGGTAGAAATAACAATCTCTTTTAAAACTCAAATAATAAAAACTAATTATATAACCATAAAAACTATCTCATGTAGCAACTCATCTTTCATCTTCAAAACTATTAGTTTTTCACTTTTACACTCTCTTCTGAATTTAAAACTCACTCAAGAAAATAGCATTTAATGTTTATACAACACATTCTCTAAATTAGCAGATGTTGGACTTTTATCTAACACCTCTCTTCGAACAAAGTACTACACCTCCCCCTTAATCAAGACTCAACTCTTTTTTCTTTTCTTCCTTACCTACTAGGCTCGAACTCTTGATGGGAGGCTTTGGAAGCCTTATTCAATCCATCATCCAGCCCAACACTCTAAGAGGCCGTTCGGTCTATCTTCTTTACCTACTTTGTTCGAAAACTTCAAAAGAAAAAGAAGTGAAGCCTAGATTAAGGGAAAATGTTGGATGACAGTCCTACGTTAACTAATTTAGGGAATGATCCTGAGTTTATAATCGATGAATATTATCACCATTAATATGAGGCCTTTTGGGGAAGTCCAAAGCAAATTCATAAGAGCTTATACTCAAAATGGACAACATCATACCATATTAAAAAGAAAGCAAAGTTGATGTATTACGAGAGTTTATGGATGTTTTCCAAAAGCTAAGCTCCGTGTTGCTACCAATCATCGATGGTTTTCTAGCAAGCACGTGTAAAGCTGTCTCGCCATTTTGGAGTCGCTCCCTTGCTAATTCAGGTTTCTTTTTCAGAATCTCCAATGCCATATCTAGAAGAAAGAAAGGGTAAAAAGTATATTAAGTGAGTGAGTTAGTAATGAAGAAAATATGATATGTATAAGGATGTCAAGAAAAACCGTAATAGTCAGAGGAAATGGTAGCAATCAGAAGCTTAATCTGCTCAGAAGGAAGCAGAGCTTCAAAATTAGTGTTGGAGAAAAGGAAAGAAGCCATGTCTTTGCGTTCGTAAGCTACCGCCATTAAAACAGGGGTTGGTATATAAAGATCATGAAGATTTGGAAGATGGGAATTCTTGTCAACCATTACTTTAGCCATTCTCACAACTCCTGATGCAGCTGCAAAAGCAAGGGCAGTGTATCCCTCTCCACTTGTAGCAGCTAAAGCAGAGGAAGAGGTAAGATCGACCAAATTTTCAACAAAATGAATATGCTTTGCAGCAGCAGCAATATGAAGAGCAGTTTCATCAGCATCAGTAATCTTCATAGTAATAGCTGATGAATCTATGTCAAATATGGATTTGGCTGTCTTCCAATCACCCTTTAAAGCTGCTTGATATAACCTAACTTTTAGTGGAATGCATACTCTGTTCCTGTTTACTGGACATATAAACAAACAAACAAACAAACAATCCATAATGACTCTGCAAAAAACTGTTCTTTTTTATGTAATTTCATGTCATTTAAAGGTGGATGAAGATACCCTCGCAAAGAATGAAAGGCCCCCTTTCCACCGTGGGATTTGGAATAGCATCAGGTTCTTCACCCTCATGTTGGGCTTCATCGGCCGCTGCCGCATCAGAGTTTGGATGGCATTCATCGTCATTCACATCATTATCATAATGAGGTGATGGAGTTGTTGGTTGTTCTTCATCACTACTATTTGCCATACCTTCAAACAGGATTGGGAACTGCCAATCACCTCTTCCAAACACCTTTTAAATACCAAATTTTATGTAAAAATCCAGTCTTTTCGTATTTTTTTTCATAGTATGTTGCACATCTATAATAAATATAGTGCCTTACTTGTTGGGTTGGTGGGTTGGGTCAATTCTATTTATTCACTCGGTTGGATGAAAGTCTACATCGACTATTTTAGAGAATCATCATGAGTTTATAATCAAGAAATACTATCTCTATTGGTATAATGTTTTTTTGAGAAACCCAAACTAAAATCACGAAAGCTTATGCTCAAAATAAACAATATCATATCAATGTGCAGAGTCGTATTCATCTAACACATTCAACTACTCCAAATCTTTATTCATTTTTATAACATTATATTTAAAATTTTCAACCTCACTTTCTATTTTTATTTTTTATGTTTTATTTTTACTTTTAACAATAACATCCCATCACGATATAACTCAACTCCTTATAGTATACCTACCTCAATTTATTGTCATTGTACTATGATAATTTAATTATTTTATTTATAAAACAAATATAAGATATAGAAATTTAAATTTCAAACTTTAAGATAAGAAATATATGTCAATTATGACAATTTCTCGTGTTGATAAATATACAAACATAAAAGATGAGTGAAAGCAATTCTCAAACAGCAATCGTAACATCTACAAATTAAATAGCTCCAAAAGAAAATTGTTACGAACAAAAATAGCTCAACGAAAGACACCATGGAGGGAAAGGGCTGCATGATATCACAACGAAACTATCAAAGATACATGTACGTACTAACATAATGGGAAAGTATCTCAATGCACATGACATGTTTAAAATCGTAGCGTACAATAAGAATCATTTCGTTATTTCTTTCATTTGTGTCATAGAACACATGAATCATGTATGCATAATACTTGTTATAAGACTTTACACGACATGACATAATATTGCATACGTAACATTATATATCGTTGCATATTTATAGCTTTAGGTAGGTCTGTGAGTCGTACTAGTTTTTGGATAAATTTGCATAAAAATAATAAATAATAAAAAGCTTTTAAAATAAGGATGAAATGTCAGTATTTATTATTATCATAAGTAAAAATTTGAATGGAATTGAAAACTTAGGAGTGAAGAGGACAATTTGTTAGGTGCAATTGAATTTTTTTGTCGGTACTTCTGAAGCTAAAAGCTAAAAGTAATTATGTAACAACGACTTTGATAACATATAATTCCGGAGATGACAGCTAGTCATATTCCCTTTTTGACACGACATGAAATATTGGCTTATCTAATGAAATCTTGTAAAAGAGGTTTGGAATGGATATAGGGCGATAGACCACACGTCGTGAATGAGTATTACCTGAACATCTCACATGCACTCATGAATTAGTATCGAACATGCCACATGGGGGTTAACAAACTTCAAATTCGTTCCGACGGTTCAAAACCCAAATTGGGAAAGCGAACAGGAGACTGTGGGCCCTAACTTGGGCTGCATCACAAACATTGCAAATCGCATTCGCAGTTTCCACTTTTGCTTGTGGTGTTAGCATCGGTGGAACAGTTGCGGTATGCGATTCTTCTCCGATTTTCCCTTTCGATTTTTCTCTCATATTCCCTTTTCCATTTCTTCAAATTTCCCATCGTTTCCTTCCCAATGTATATATTCTACCATTCGCCATGGAATTCGGCTGTATCTCGTGTTCTGTACTCAGAAATTCAGGGATTTTGAGTTCCGGCAATTGATCGCTGATGGAGTCGCCTGAAATTACCGACTGGGTATTTGATTACGCTCTGATCGAGGACTTTCCGGTCCCCGGCGGTGACCTACCTTGACTGGATCTTCCTGTTTTCACTTTGTCCTCTCGCGATTTCACTGCCTCCTTCAGGTTCTAATAGCTCATGAATCTCTTTTGAGTTTTGTTTTTTGATATTGTTCCTGGGATTTGTATGTTGTTTGAAATGAATTGGTTGAGTTGTGGATTATCATCTGGGTTTGCTTGTGGATGTAGATTACATGATTCAACATAGGACTATGAAGTTATTTCATTAAGCAAAATTTGATTCACTAACGTCTTACATTGGCAAGGGGTTGTACCAGATTATGATGCCTACTCCAATTTAGCCTTCGTTCTTATAGATTTTTAACATGGTATCAAAGTAAAAAGCCTTGAATTCAAACTCTTTTTTTAATGTTTTTTCCTTCTCTGTTTTAGATTAGTAGTTCATGATATTAGAGGTAGGTTTCAAGTTCTAAATTTTACAGTGATCCATGTGTTAGTGAAATTGTCCAAGTCCACTGCAGTAGATATTGTCTTCTTTGGCTTTTTCTTTTCGGGCTTCCCCTCAAGATTCTCCTCAAGATTCTGCTAGGGAGAGGTTTTGTCCTCTTTGGCTTTTTCCTTTCGGGCTTCCCCCTCAAAGTTTTAAAATGCCTCTGATAGGGAGAGGTTTCCACACCCGTAATGTTTCGTTCCCCTCTCCAACCGACATGAGATCTCACAATCCACCTCCCTTGGGGCCAGCGTCCTCGTTGGAGCCCCCTCAAAGTTTTAAAATGCCTTTGATAGGGAGAGATTTCCACACCCGTAATGTTTCGTTCCCCTCTCCAACCGACATGAGATCTCACAATCCACCTCCCTTGGGGCCAGCGTCCTCGTTGGAACACCACCCGGTGTTTGATTCTGATACCATTTGTAACCGTCTAAGACCACTGCTAGCAGATATGGTCCTCTTTGAGCTTTCTCTTTTGGACTTCCCCTCAAGATTTTAAAACGCGTCTGCTAGGGAGAGGTTTCCACACCCTTATAAGGAATGTTTCGTTCCCCTCTCCAACCGACGTGGGATCTCACAATCCACACCTCTTGGGGGCCTAGTGTCCTTGCTGGCACACCGCCCCGTGTATGGCTCTGATACCATTTCTAAGAATCTAAGCCCACCGCTAGCATATATTGTCTTCTTTAGGCTTTCCCTTAAGGGCTTCTTCTCAAGGTTTTTAAAACGTGTTTGCTAGGGAGAGGTTTCCACCCCCTTATAAGGAATGTTTCGTTCTCATCTCCAACTGACGTGGAATCTCACAATTAGACTCAATTCAAACATTAGAGCCTTTTCATGAGAGCGTACTCGAATGCTTATATGTTTTATTTTCTTTATATGACAGCTGAGATGCCATTTTTTTATTAAAGATCTCATCGTACCGTTGTTAGTGTTTTAAGGGAAGACTTTGATGAGGCACATGGAAAGCTAAACGATATAAAAGAATCTGGGTCTAGGAACAGGTGAGCAATTATTAGTTCCCAAGTTGAGTATCTGCACTATGAGGAGGATTACCATATCATTGTTTATGTTCTAATGCTGTGGCAATCAATTTGAGCATATTGGATATGCCCTTACAATATCATTGGTTATGTTCTAATGCTCTGGCTATCAACTTTAGCATATTGGATATGCCCTTACAATAGCATGGTAGTGATCTTACTGTTGACAGGATGAGCCCTGGATCAAGTGCATCTTTGTCCAAAGCACATAAAGAGAAAGTGCGGAGAAATAGACTAAATGACAGGCATCTCGATTCGTTACATTCATCTTTTTCGCCATTCCCATCTCTGCTCCGCTCCTCCCCCGCCTCATATTTTGTGTTTGCTTGCTGATTAAAGGTTTCTGGAGTTGAATTCCATCCTCAATCATGGAACGTCTCCCAAAATTGACAAGTCTGTTATTTTGGGTGATGCAGTTCGAATGATCTTGCAGCTAAGAGATGAAGCTCAGAAGCTGAAGGAGTCCAATGAGAATTTTCTGGAGAAGATCAATGAAATGAAGGTAGATTATGTGGTTTTGCAATCGTCGATGTTCGGTTTGATCTTCCATCGATGTTTGATTCTATTTCTTCTTTGTTCAGGCTGAAAAGAATGAACTACGAGATGAGAAACAGAGGCTAAAAGAAGCAAAAGACAATCTTAAACAGAAAATGAAAACCTTCATTACTCAACCAAGTTTCCTGCCTCACCCTCCTCCATTTTCTGCTCCAAATCATGTTGTTGGGGCGAAGTTCGTACCTGTGATTGGATATCCAGGAGTATCCATGTGGAAGCTTATGCCTCCGGGCGCTATCGATACGTCTCAAGACCACGTTCTCCGGCCACCAGTTGCCTGACTTGGTAGAGATCTTCCATTTTCACTGGCTTTGCTTTTGCATGCGAGGATTCCTATGTTGGTTTTTCTGTAGGGCTGACATGGTTCTGTTGTCTGTTAGATTTTCATGATTGAATTGGCTTAAATGTATGTTTTGTTATAGAAATTCCGCTGATCAAAATCAATATAGTCTACTCCATAAGTTCTTAGCCTTACTCTTCTTCAGCAGAAAGACGTGTTTGCTCCGAGAGAAACAATCAGTCTTTAGAAGATTATAGAGTTTAAACTAATAGAACTATGCTCGGGTTGACTGATTTTTCTTTAGATGTCCATTGTTCGGCATAGGACTTCAACAATCCTCAACACTCGACACTATCGAAGATGAGGAGGAGAATCTTCTTGTTAAAAAAATGAGATTTTGAATGATCTTGAATCAGTCGAACGATATTCAAGTTTGAGTTTACGAAATTTTGACTAATTCTCTCGAACCAATTAAAACTGAGAAGAAACAGCATCATTAAAAAAGAAGTGTTTTAACAAGGTGATCTAAATCCCATGTTGTTTCCAGCAGTGTAGTCTCTCAAAACATTAAGCCCACCAAATGTGGTCATAGTGACAGTACTCAAAGCCATCACTGTACTAACTGAGAAGATGATGAGAGACGCCCTTCCATACTCACGAATCGCCTTCTGAACCACTACCAATCCGATCACGGAGGCGATGAAGCAGACGATCGCGTAAATGACTGCAATTTCAGTATGCTCCATTCCCAGCAGCAAATACTGGCAAGCTGACATTGTAGCCGAGAAGAACACCATGAACGAGCACGTTGCAGCTGTTACCTGCATTAGATTTTGGAGATTCGAACATAATGAGCGGATGACAAGTTAAATTACAAAATTGGTCCTAAACTTTGAAGGTGGTGTACCATAAGTCTATAATCTTTCAATATTGTGTCTAACAGCTTTAACCCCACCGCTAGTAGATATTGTCCGCTTCAGTCCATTACGTATCGTCGTCAGCCTCACGGTTTTAAAACGCGTATACTAGAGAGAAGTTTCCACACCCTTATAAGAAATGTTTCGTTCCCCTCTCCAACCGATGTGAGATCTAACAATCCATCCCTCTTGGAGGCTCAGCGTCCTCACTGGCACACCATCTGGTGTCTAGCTCTGATACCATTTATAACAGCTTCAAGCCCACCACTGGCGTCTGTTTTGACCGGTTATGTATCGCTGTCAACCTCACGGTTTTAAAACGCGTCTACTAGGGAGAGGTTTCTACACTCTTATAAGGAATGTTTCGTTCCCCTCTCCAACCGACGTGGGATCTTGAGAACTAACGTTAAAATTGAAACAAAGGAACGTTGAGTTCAAGAGACGAAAGGACTTTGCCTCTGGAGCTATTCCAAATTGAAGAAGGAAAGGACTTATAAGCATGCCACCGCCAATTCCAAACATGCCGCCCAAAATCCCAGCTAAGAGTGCCATTACAGGGAAGATCAGTTTCTTGGATGGTTCAACTGCAGGCCCTGCTTCTTCCAACTCCTTCACAAGGAACAACAGTCAAGATTGCTTTATGAAAAGATCTCAGAAACAAAAGCAAATATGTTCTAGTTTCATTCTTTGCACCTTCTGGGGTGAATCTTCAGGTTCAGGAGCCTTCTGTTTGTACAGAATCCAGAGAGTGAAAGCTATGGCTACCGGAACTTGGAGCGAAGAGATAATCCAGTAACCCGTTCTGCACGTTTCGATCCGTATAAGACCCTGCAAAAACAAGGAGCAGTCACATACCCACTTCTTTTTTCTTTTCATTTGCAATGATGCAGAATTAACTTAGCAAGAACAAAGAAAAAGTCATTCAGTGTTGAATTCGTCCTAAATGAAAAGCGTCAAATTTGATTGCATAGATTTGGTACTGCTATCATGGCCCGCACCGAAACAGTGCTATACCCCTAGATGTCCAGTCAACGCATACAAAAAGCTACCAAAGGGAGAGTACATGGGACCAAAGGGGTGGCATACTATGTTCAAGCCGGAAAGTAAGGAAGTTGCACTATCAGCTTTAGACTAAACTGTCCCAATCAAAAACACAGCCAAAACTTTGACATGAATGAACAAGTTATCGGCTCCATAATTGAGTCTAAACAACAACCTACCCCGTTTGGGATCTAGTGTCCTCGTTGGCACTCGAGGTTTCCACACCCTTAAAAGATGTGTGATCTCACAATCCACCCCGTTCAGGGCCTAGCGTCCTCATTGACATTCGAGGTTTCCACACCCTTATAAAGATGTGATCTCACCATCCACCCCCTTCGCGGTCTAACGTCCTCGTCGGCTCTCGAGGTTTCAACACTCTTATAAAGATACGTGATCTCACAATCCACCCTTTCAGGGCCTAGCGTCCTCGTTGGCGCTCGAGATTTCCACACCCTTACAAAGACGTGAGATCTCGATCATTTTCTATACTTTTCACAGCAGTCAAGGTCAAATCAAGATCACTTCCATATACTTTTTATGCAACTCAAGTTCTCTGAACCATAATTTTTCCCTAACAATGAACAATCATACTCTAACCAGACACAGAATCAAATAAGAAAATCCATACCTGTCCATCGCGGTTGCCACGAAGAAGATAGATAAGATAGAAAGAAGACCAGACAAGAATCAAGGCTCCCAACTTCATTAAAGGGAGTCTGAATCTGCAATTTTCTTGTGTATTCAACAAAGGCTCTTCAAGAAATTTGCCTTCATTTTCATTCCCTAGCCCATCTTCCAATTTACACCCATTATTCCTCAGCACCTCTGTCTCCATTCTCCAATACACCATCCCACTTGCACAAGTTTTAAAGGTCGACCAAACAAGAAAAATCGCAAATAGAACAGTAGTAACCCATTCAGGAAACGCAAGGTTACATATAACCCCAATACTAACTCCTAACAACATGCAAGGTTCAGTCAAAAGCGCAATATCAAAATCAATCAAACACTTCCCCCCTGATTTGGAGCAGAAATTGTTCAATACATTCGCAATCGACCCACCAGTGACCATAAAAGCCGAGAAACTCGAGGCTGTTTTTAGGTCAAAACCAGCCACAATGGTTAAAATCGGAATATAAAGCCCGCCGCCGCCAATCCCACCAGCGCTGGATATAGAAGCGGCTACGAAACAGAGCACACCAGCAACTGTAATGGGAGTCGTACTCGGGAGATGGGTCGTCAGCCATTGTTGGGTTTGGTGGAGAAATTGATGAATCGGAGTGAAATCATTGATGGGTTTGATTTGTTTGGCATAAGAAACATCAATGGCGATCGATAGGACGAAAAGGGCTAAGGGAAGCAGGGAAATCTTCATTTTCTTGGACTGTGTTCAACTATGAGAAGAAGCAGAAGCGATTATTAAGGCTATATAAGAACAAGACGATCAGAGAGATCGCAGTTGGTGATTGAATAGAATAAAAGGAGGGAGGACGATGAGCAAAGCAAGCATTCGAAGTGGCATTCGGGATTGTATGCTTAATCTTCTTCTCCGTAGCGATTTTAGGCGTTCTTAATCTTTTCAAATGACGGCTCTCGTTTAGTCCTACAAAATTGACCGAAATTTACACGTCAGATGGGCTTCAAAATATTTGTATTTATAATATACTAATTAAATCTCATCTTTTATAAGAATAAAATTGCTAAATTAATAAAAATATAATAATAAGTTTGTAATAATTTTAATTTTTTCAAAAATTAAAAAAATATCTTTAATAAGTAACAAAAAAAAAACTTTAAAAATAAGTTAATTTTAAATGGAAATAAGTTTCATTTTTTAAAAAATTAAGAAATATCTGATTTTTTTTAAGTTGAAAGATTTTAATTAATTAAACATTTTAAAGTTTTAGGTAATTTTTGAAATAAAGTAAATTTATAATTTAATTATTGTCCGTCTTTGATCCCGATCAAAGTCTATCGCTAATAGATATTGTGTCATGTCTGCTTTGACTCGTTATGTATCACCATCAAATTCAATATTTTAAAACGTGTATATTAAAAAGAAGTTTTCACATCTTTACAAAAAATGTTTCATTCTCAAAGAATTTTTGCCTCAACCATCGTTAAAATAAAAGAAAATTACTTAACATAGAGTTTGTCCAGCCTGGACATTTCTTTCCAGCTCAGCCTACTACAGTTTTTTGTTGGGATTGCGATATATTTATTTAATATTTAATTTACCTTTTTGTATGTAATTTATAGTATATTCTATTCATTATTAATATATTCTTTCTTTATGTTTTTTTGTTCCATCATTCTTTACACATAAAACTTCCTCTTTTATCGGTGTCCCTTTTTGTCTTTTCCTCTTACTTTACTAATTAATTAATAAATAAATAAATAAATATATATATATCAATTCACTCTTACTTCATAAATTGGCTACCTTTTTAATTTAATAATGGATATTTAAATATTTGATCTTTTCAACAAATCTATAATATCTCAATTATTACGGTTGTACTTTTTCAACTGCGTGACGTTGTGATTTTGACACGTTCACGACCAACTTTAAGGAGAATTTAAGCTCCAATCATATTTTTTTTCTCCCAGTTTTGTGGCTTTGTCGGACCGTCGAACATCACTTGTGCGGAATTCAAATTTGTTTGGCCACATACGTTGTTCGAGCGTGCGTATTCAATCGTTGCTATACAACAACGTCGCATCTTATTGTCATCTTGGTTCCCAACAACATGACCCATGCATCGTGATGTCGTTTCATGTCTGGAAATATCTCGATAAGTTGATTGACACATGGATGTGTCTGAACAAGCGATCGTATTGTGTTAGCAATAAAATTTCTATATCTACTCTCCAAAAATATTGAAATTATTATTATTATATATATATATATATATATATATATATATATACGTTTTATTTTTTAAATTATATTAAAAATATTAAGTTCCAGACCATTTTTGAAATAAATTACTAGCTATTTTTAATTTTTTTTAAAATTAAAGATAATTTTGAGAGTATTTAAAATATAAAATTGAAAGATATTTTTATTATTTTAATCTAAATTTTTTTAACTTATTAAAAAGATATTTGTTGAAAATCTTAAAAAGGGACAAATAAAAATATATATTTTAGTAAATAAATAAATAAACAAACAAAACAATAATACATGTTGAGATGCAAGTGGAGAGTGAGAAGGAGAGATGAGACATATTGTG